TGATACACAACGCACAATACGGCTTTCACATGAAGCGATCCTGTGTAACATGTCAAATACAATTCTTCGAGCACGTAACATCGGTTGCCGACAATGGCATGACAGTTACTGTCATTCTACTGGACATGCAGAAGACTTTCGATGATGTGCCACATAAACCTTTGCTGTCCGTCCTGCACTCTTACGGAGTCAGCAACCTATTGCTGAGCTGGTTTAAATCCTACCTAGAAGATCGGACACAGAGCGCTAAAATAGGCCAGCAACTCCTCCAAAAAAGAAGCTACAAGAGGAGTTGTCCAAGGCAGTGTCCTTGGACCACTACTCTTCATAATGCGTATAAATACCATATGTGATTCCATCAAATATGGACGATCATACCTCTTTGCGGACGATATTAAACTCGTCTACTCAGTTCCACCCGATAGTCTTGAGTCGGGCCTTAAGAACATATATGAGGACTTATCTGTGCTGGAGTCTTGGAGCAAAAGTTGGTCCATGAATTTCTCCGCTGAAAAATTGCACGTGCTTGGGTATGGATGCAGCATACCGGATGGCACAATCACCCTAGCAGGTACAAACATCCCAAACTCCTCTTCAGTTAGGGAACGGAGTAATACATTCCACATTGCTGAACTTTACCGAGCATGTCTCATAACAGAGAGCAAAGGCAAGGCAATTGAAAGCCTATATCACTAAATCCTTTGTTCTAGCTGAAGTGAAACTGGAAATGTTTAAGATTATCGTGACACCTATGCTGGAATACTGCACAATTATCAATAGCCATCTGAGTAGAACGTAACAAATAGCTTTAGAAAACATTCAGCGTTCTTTCACGAAACTCCTTATTGGCCAATCCACCAATCTGAACTATGAAGATCGCTGTCACCGTCTTAAACTAGACCCTCTATGGCTGCGCCGTCTGAGAAATAAGCTACTTCTCTTTTACAACATTATACATTGCCGGATGTACACTACCGGAATAGATCTTAAATTGCAATGTTCCTCAACCTATCCCACAAGAAATAGGGGTAACTCATTGCGCGTGAAAATGATGAACGTGAAGATCCGCTCCAACTTCTTCCTGGTAAGGTATACTCACATATGGAATAAGCTACCATTGAAAGTACGGGCAAGTGTGAACCTAACCAAATTTAAAATGAACTTGGGAGCTTTTCTCACCATGCAGAACATAATGAAAACATTCGGCCTTCAAGTGTCTACAGATGTGTTAATTTCATCAGGTCCAAACAATATATGACCAATAATGCAAGTTCACCACACTCCAGAATACATTAACTTTATGCTCGAAAATGCCACCCTTGAAGTCCCACTTGTAGGTGGAGAAACAAAAAGTGTATCTCTTGCTTTATCACTCCTTCGTATATTGTAAATATTCTACTGTCCTATGGCATCCGGATAATTTGCATCACCTAGTGCGTATTGAAAAGAGAAGCCAACTCATTAATAACGCTACCTGTTATTCTAAACTTCTGCAATATTTTATCACACCCAATCATATAGCATTCCACAATGTCACGAGACATGCTATTTGGCTACTTATTTCGTTGGTATTTCCACCCTAATTTAACTATTTCCTCTTAATCTCCTGTTTCTCTGTTGGTCATGGGTGGGCCTGAGGTGATGTGTTGAAACTTTTAAGCAACATGTATACGCACGTCAAAAGACACTGGTGAATATAAGAAGTGTGCTGAAATAAAAATGAACAGTTCAATCTGAACTGCTGAACTCACACTTAATGGCATATGAGGCCAACCGGTGATCCCAGTCATCATGCATGCCAAAAAAGCAATTCTGAATGACGAAAGGGCTGACTGGTTTGAGTAACTAGCTCACCAGAAAAAACACTTGCCTAAATGATGAATAGAAGCGGCAGTGGCCAGTGTTTTTAAACCAAAGGGACACATGACAAGGTGGGGCGTGGAGGTGCGGGTGAAACCTTACGAGTGACTACCCCGAATGCAAGCAGGTCCCCGGGAGACGGTTCCGCGGATGACTCTATTACTTCTCTTTTTTCTCTTACCATATTTCATTCTGCACTGAATCTTTTGTGCTCCTGGTTCCTGGTTCCTAGTTACTTCACCTCTACCGTCCTACTGTCTTACCGATAGTTCCCATTAACTTATTCCTTAGACCATAGCCTCGCTGTTAGTTGTGGTGCATTTCCTCTATATCTACAACAAGAATCGGATGACTATTACACACTTTCCTGTTTACCTGTCTTTGACATCTTCTATAAGACTGCAAGCCACTGAACAAGTCCTGACTGCAGTGAATAGGCGCTTATTTCTTTGTCTACTTATCTGTTTAATTCTCCCTTTTCGACGTTCCCTTTACCGTGTATAGTAACGCACCCCCACAACTATCCACCTACAAGTGACGGCTGAAAGGAATACAACTGAGCTCACCCAGCATCTCAACCACCCGGCAGACCAAAACATAACTTGATTATTTCAACTCCATAATTAGACCAAGGAATGTCTAGACACTACGCTATGCCTTAACTCCTTACCATGTGGATACTGATAAAGCAACGAGTTTAATGATCCACTGGAGTTACCTTAATGTAGTCTTTTCCTTATTTTCGTAACTCCCTAACTTGCTACTCACCAATAGCTCCAACTGTATTACTCCCGTCTATTAAGTAAGATTGTGTACTGTTCATCTGATTTTGATTGGTGAATTTAAGTCTTTCATCCTTTTCATACTCACCCCATTAAACCACCGCCATCATGGAACCATCAAGCTGCATTGAAAGCAACCAAATGAGAATGCTTGCGAACTGCTAGCATAGGGCGACAAAGGTACCAAATGAAAAGATTCGCAAAAGCATCTCTATTGTAATCCTGTGAAAAGCCAAACAATTGACAGCTCCGCATGCCTGAGCTTGTTGCAATGTAAATATGATCCGTCCCTTTGTGGGCTCGGTTTCTCGGTGCTACGATAAATATATCTTATTATTACTATTATTATTAATATAACTCGCGATAGGCTAACTTACTGATGTACCGCAAAATATGGTAATTTTAGTCTCTGGGGGTTACTTTGGGTCAACATGAAAAAGTTGTAAAACAGATCACATTTATTTTATTATTTTCGCGTGATAAAGTTGGTTTCATGTGTTGAAAATCCATAATGTTATTAATTGGAAATCATTTTATGCTGAAGTGGAATATTCAGTCCTGGGTATACTTCTTGTGAAAGATGGCCGGCGCCATGAAATATGTTTGTCATGCGGTATAGTTTCAATTGTGTAGCATATTTGATGTTACTCAAACACACTTATTATGCATTATGTTACCGTCTTGGTGGATAATGTTACCCCAATAAGCTTTATGATTTTGGAGTAACTTTGGCTAGTTGGCCGAAGTAACCTTTAAAATAGGCATCAAATATCCCGAGAAGATTATGAATTCGTCAAAGTCAGCAATTAGTTTGATGTTTGCTGGTACTATCGATGAAGAGTCATTGTCCCCATATGTAGTGCACAAAGCCGGAAAGCTTTGGGACATTTGCACGGAGAATGGACCATCAAGCATAGGAGATAACAGATCAACACCTGCTTTTTGTACTGGTTTCAACAAGTGACATTGTCTTTGTGGCACAGAAAAACTGGCCGTTGTATCCTTTTGGGTGACAATCAGTTCACTTTTTGCTCTTGATACTACCAGACTCAGCAATGAAGACAAATTTCCTTTTCGTTGCCTCCCACCTAACTTAAACCACCTCTACGGGATTCTAGACGTAGTATTCTTCCGGCCTATGGACCCAATGGAGCGCGATTCTGACAAAATATGAAAATCTGTGGTAAAAGACGCAAACCATCTAGAAGGATAGAGTTCTGGGGTTGCTGAAGCAACTTCCCGATACCATGGGTGAAGGTGTTGCAGAAAATTTGCGATCGGGGTTTAGAAAAGCTGAATTCCAGAGGAAAATGAAGAAGAAGGAGATGCCAATAACACCTTCGCTTCTGACGTTTTCAAGCTACAACTGAAAGAAATGCGCTTTGTTAGTGGTGGAGAAAATTTACAACAACGCAAAGAAAGCTCTAAAGGTTTAGTCTAGGAAAAGTGTCTTGGTTCCAACTGAAGAGGTTGTTTTCGGAACTGAAGATGGTGCTGAACCAGAAAGTGACTCGGCAGCCCAAGTTTATCCAAGAGAAGTCGATTGCTTGTCCTCCGTCAATGATGCAATTGACAACCGACTAGAAATATCCCTCTCTGATTCTGATGCCGAGTGTTCCAGGATCAAAGAAAGCCCGTTGAACTCAAGAAACATTGTTGAGAAATTCGCTTTAAGTATTTAATAGTGTTGTAGATGTGTTTTGTAATTTTTACATATAGACAGTGACCAATTTTAACCTTGTGTTGTGGAATATTGGTTCTTTGCATTTTTTGTCTACATGGCCAAAGTATCCTCGTTAAGAGGCAACTTTGATCATGGTAGATATTAAAAAGACTGCATCAGCCAATATTTTTTTACAGTATTACAACACTGTAGCTCATGAACAGACCACTTAATAATGTTATCAAAAGCACTGATAAATGTGTGTGTGTGTGTGAACCAAAGTTCCCCCGTCTTACGGTATATCAATTTCTCTGTTCAGCAATGCTTGTTTCGAGGGAGTCGCGATGATTTTCTCTGGATCGAATTATGCTGGGTTTGCCGTAGACCGAATAGTCCATCAGAAACTAAAGGACACACGACGTAGCAACGTCGTGACTGGCCACACAGTGGATGGTTGGAATCCGGTTGACAAAAATAGACTTTTAAGGATAGAGGTGACACTGACCGGTGAAACCCAGCGGGTCAAGTTCAATAAACCCTCACATTCCATGTATGGCCAGGGATTAGAGTTTCCAGTAAATTTCTATGCTCTTTTGCTTTCTCTTGTCTGACTAATCGAAGTGAATCATCGAGGACTTACCTGCGACACGCGCTTGGCTAGTGAGTTATGCGTCCAAACGTATTCCCACTAACGAATGAGACATTGCCGTGACTCGATTCGGAAATTCAATGCACTTCCCATCCTTCTGGCCCACACCAAGCGCAGGCATTCGGATCCGAAGGTAAGCAAACTCAACTTCAACTGGAAGTGGAGCGGTAGATCCCGTGGATAATTGCTTTTGAAAGCGCAAACAATCGATAATTTCAGATCACATGAAGTAAACCCTGGTTGCCGAAGGAGGCCTAGTTATCGATACAGTCTATGTTCCCGACAGTCAGACAAACAACCGTCAACCTATGATCCTACGAGCAATCGCATTATTTGCAAGTGTTCACAGTATTCTCAATCGACCATGCTTGCATTCGACAATATCAACCATTCCATGACAGTGAGGATCCAATACCGACCTTCGAACAAGTGGTGTCTAAAGAAAATAGCATGGAAAACAAGCCACTAATTATAAAGAATGTGCCGCATTCTGAACAACAAAGTACTTTTCATGGTTAGTGGGATATTTTGGCGAATCCAGCACACAGAATTCTGTGAAAGCGTCCTCACTAACATCGACTATATATCTAGCGCAACGCGCCAACAGTCTGAGGGTAGCGGAAGTTACGCGCTCAGGACAACTGAAAAGATGAACCATGCGCATAAAATCCTCATTGCAATGCGCTCTGTAATCTCAGCCGAACACTGCCTGCATATCTCAGATAGAAATGGAGTCGCGACGTTTTATTACAAGCATACATGAGTGTGTAATTGAAGTTTATGGATCATCTCACATAATGCATATAGACCCAGTAGCGATCAGATTATGATCGAAGCATTCATGATGCTTTATAATCAACTGATCATGCCTACTCAAGGGTCTTGTGTAAAATAGAGAATAAACATAATAGCAATAATATTTGGGAGCTCGGTACATTCCGCTGAAAAATCAATATTACTATCACTCGAGTCCACCTCCACACTATGCTAGGCTGGACACCTGCTTGAGTTCGTGACATCGAACGGTGATCAGTTATTGAGATGAAGTGGGGAAGAATAATTGCAGTACAATTTAAGTGTGTTACTAGCAACATATGCCGATAGTTGGAAATGTATGGGCGGCAAGGAACGATGGAAATGTGAGGTGGTTGTACAAACTTTGGCTACAGCCACCCGACAGGTCAAATATTGTGCGGTGATTAACAGTTTTAAGGTAAGTGTCACAACTCAAGCAACTTCCTCGCCAGGCTGGGACGGTGCTCTGTGATCAACCGTGATGGAGCATTATGAGAACGAACGAAGGAAGGGGATATAATGAATTGTAACTTCAGCTGGACCCTGGTGATCACACACCGATTAGTGACGAAAGGTTAGTAGCTAAGCTGAAAAAATGATGCGCGAAACAGTGGGTCTCATTGCAATGCCCAATCCAGATGGAAGTTCGAAGGTGAAGCGGTCTTGGAAACGTCCCTCTGCTCCGGTTGCAGTGATCTCAGTCAGGCCAAGCAACTATTATACAAGCATCGACTTGTGGTGGATTCAGTTAGCATGACTCACGATGCTGTGAACATGCGCGAAACAGCAGTGGGGAAAAGAAACACGAAAGTGTGCAAACGGTCAAGGTAAAAAAAAACGTTGAGTAGGTTGCATGGAGGGGTCAACAGATAGAAGTCATAGAGCAAACGCAAGCTCTTTCGCCACCAAGTTCGGCATGATCCATCTCGAGACTTCACTTTAGGGAAGCGACAAACACCAATAAGACAGTCTTTCCGTCGCTCTATCTTCGTGTGTTTTATCACATTTGCGATCAGCTGAATCTGCAAAGTACAGTGACGGCGGACAACGACAAGTGGGGTAGTCGGCCGACAGGCTGGTGCGTGAAGAACGCAGCGTCCCCAAAATGGGGCGATACAAGTTCGACAGATGATCCCACTGCGATGCACAGGTTTATGGTCAAACTCCAAGTACCGGAGAGCAGAGACACTCCTTCTACAGTCCAATCAGGCAGATGGAATGCATCGCGGACATCGGCAAGAGAAATCGAAGAAAATTAGTCCCGTGATGTTTCGCGAGCAGCAGCTACGCATCTGATCCATACTGTGATAGTGGCCATGTGTCCTCCTAGTGGGGGAATTCAGTCTACACGCAGTCGAAGACTTAACTCCTCTCGGGGAACAATTCAAGGTTGACTTGCAAGAAGTAAGCAGGGATGATGCGCTACACATCTATGTCACCGATTCTAAGTGATTCAGAACAGGTGACGAATCATTTGTTTTAGACCTTGCGGTCACCAATGAAAAAGTGACTGTCGACACCGTAACTATGGACGTCGTAGCGATTATGCGACGCTGCTCTACCGTTGGGTTTCCTACATGGAATACACCTGCAAAAGCCAGTAGGAAACCCGCGTTGTCACCCATTACAACATCCTGTCTGAGTTCGTTCAAGAAACCAACTGCTCCTTCCTAGCCGAGTAGCCGCCCGATGTCACGTGGATAGAGTTCGTAACCTAGTTCACCGGACTAGTGGCAAATGAGCCAGAAACCGACGTTTTTCGCTCAAAGCAAACAAAGTAGTTGCTGAGAAGCGGGACTCGAAAATGCATGACCTTAAAGGATTTAGCCTGCCGTGCGTATAAAGCTTTTGCGAGTGCGCAGGCCTGGGATGCCTAAATAACTCAGCGAAATCATTGGGGCAAATTCGTTAGGGAAAACAAATTCTAGCAGCAACAGGACTTAGCGGGAAAATTCAGTATTAGTCCCAAAATGTTGTCCGGGCCCGTCCGCAAACTCCGGTCGGTGTAGCGTAGGACACCAGTTCTACGGGCAGCAGATGGTCTGGCGCTAAATACACAAGATGCAAGTAACGCGCTTCGGCAACAGCTCATCCGCACTTGCCAGTGAATCGTCACCTCACAGCCCCAACGGTTGAGTCAGGCATCGTTCACGGCAGTAAATGTGATGTAAGAACTATATTTCTTATGGGTGCAG